CTTTGGTGTGAGACACTCGTTCTCCACCTTCCAGGGTATTCATGTTGCAAAGCTGAGGTTTCCCAAGTATTACCCTCTCAGTCAACCCATCTCTACCAACAATACAAGAGCCATTTAACCGAAACCCCCATTCTTGAACGAAGCAAGAAAGAACAAAGCAAGAAAGAACAACTGACAGACTAGAGAATCAACATCAATCAACCCCTTCAGAAAATTTGAAAAGGACATCATGACCTGGTACAACCATGTACAAAGCAATCGTCTCATTCGCAACGAGATTCGCCCCTCTCCAGGACCCCTCTCTGCGGGCGGGTTCCGCCAGGTCGCATCTCGGCCACGTCGCGAGCTTCGATCGCCAGGCGAGCGCCTTCCAGAGCCACCTCCCGGTGGATACCCTCCGGATAACCTGGTTGAATTGAAGTGTACGTTGTTCCATCGAAATGTTCACTACAATTCCGGTTCTGGTGGGTACACACATATATATAGTACATCTTCTTCCAGGTGGCCCCGGTTCTTACAAATCCGAGATAAGGCAGAGGAGTTCTTTTTTGCTGTGACCTTTGTTTTGTCTTGTTATTATTTTTTAGCGAGGCCGAGGGTATGGATTGTGTTGGAAAATCTTGCACCAATAATGATGAAAGTCTTGCGCCCCTACTAGGCTACGAACGGAGATGGAGGATATCCCGCTTAATGAAAAGGCCATCACGAACGAAGAAAGTTCGCTCAAACACGCTACCCTTCTTCAAAACAAGACAAGTCGAGTAATGAAAAGAACCAGTCTGAGACTCCGAGAAGGCCCAAACCAGTCGCCGCCCGCACACAAAACATGAAGGCCAAGGCCGAAAAGTGCGGGAGCAGATGTCTCAGTATATAGGAGCGTGAGTCAGCAAGCAATCCACAGTTTCACCGAAAAGTCCCAGAAAACCTGTATAATATAAACTATAAACGTATACTCGCTTGGTTTACTTGTAAGGATGCTCATAAGGATGCTCATTTCATGCATAGTCTTGATCCGACGTCTGTACGAGGCTCAGCGACGCTCCTTTTGGCAAAATCTCTCAGGTCAGCTGAGGCCCCGATTGGGGGAAGCTCCGCCGACTGCGGGTGCGACCCAAAGACGCGCCGTGGCCGAGTCTTCCACCGTTCTAACCAGCCACCTAAACCGCCCAATGGAACATGAAAGGGGGTTTAATGGAGAGTTGCTGAAGCACACGAATATATGAGCCTTGGATTTGCTGAAAAAAAGGAGAATGTGATGGGACCTAGTCAGGACTGCCTTCTAGGGCAGGACGCCACCGCAGGAAAGGTCTACAGAGTCTACAGTTGTGATTTGATCAGTCCAACTCTCAAATGAGTCCTGCATGCATGCCTCTCAGCGAATCGCAGATTTAGGCTTGTTTTTTTGTTTTTAATAGTAATAACTTCTGCAACCACCTAAATGACTTGTGCATAATATCAACCGAAACTGTGCCCACAGAGTTGGTACTGTGTTCTGGGAACACCTGCAGTTCAAAAGTGTGAATGTTGACACCTCTGGCAAAAGAAAACATGTGTGGCACGTCTTTGGGTCGGGGTTCGTCTTCAGCCCGCGAAGCTGAGGGTTCGTGACGAGGTTTGCTCCATGGAGATCGCTTGGGGGTAAAAATACTTGAGAAGCCCAAACAACATGAGATCGTATGGCTATGTAATAGGGAGATCTAAAAAAAAGACCCCGTGGAAGAGGGAAAGTAGACCAACACCCATTGGTTTTTCAGGTTTCCATATTAAAATACACACCCAAAGATCCGACCTATGCTCATCATCCAGGTCATTCGTTCCGCCCATCGGTCACATCCCAACGGCATGCACATGAGGAATCACATGTTTATCAAGATCTCAACGCATGATTCCAGTGATTTTCACAAATACAACATGTGTACAGAGACTGTCTCATAGAGATACATAATATTAATATATAGAAACATTCATGCTGGAGTAGATAGAATGGCGGCCACTCCCAACACCCATGCTAGACCGGCAATCTGTTACATAGAACGTTCATCTCCTATCAAGGATAATGCCTTTACGTACGTAGGAGCGAAGCAATGCAACAATTGCAGCTGATTTTTTAGCGTCAAGGCTGAGACCACGTTCGCAACGCATGTCTCAAGACCCCGGGGGTTGGGGCTCTAGGTGTGTTGTTCTTTTTTCTGCAATGCCACGAAAAGCCAAAACTCAACAGATTTTGCTAAAACACCATCAGGATACCAACTCTCAGGCGAACACACGAACATATTCATGTCATCCGAGGTAAGACCCTGAATGTCCGCAGCCAGCGGCCGACATTTAAAAAAAAACTGCGCACCTAGGCGCACCTAAACTGGTACTGGAAATGTTCAATCCGCTGACTAGATCTGACCATTTTTTGTAAGAAGTTGAAACAGCATCTTCCCCCCCTGTCCTTAGGACAGGGAGCCTGTCTTTTGCCTCGGGACTCTTCAGCTTCGTCGTTGCTTTCTGGAGGAAGCCCATGGCCCCTTCGGTGAAACGCGAGGTCAGTCGCAGCTCATGCGCTCGGCTGAGAGGGGCGAACTGGATCCCAATGCCATACCCCGGCATACACTCAATATCACTCAGTACCCTCCCCCTGTTTACAACTTACCATGGTTTCTTGGAGTTCAGCCCTTGTTGGTAGAGGAAGGAGAGATGTCTTCCATGGACCATTCTCATCCTTCTTCCACTTCCAGTTTTCGATGTTGTATCGACCGTCTATGGCCAATGCTGTCAAAGTCGACTGGGACCCTTAGGGCAAGAGTTTCTTCCAACTTGAAACCAACTTGTGACACATCTGTACAGTGGCTTGGCATTCGATTGTCAGATTGCCACTGCCAATCTGCCGGTCTCTGCAAGCCTTCGGCATCTTCCAACGTTGCGAGTTGGCCCTCGAAAGGGAACACCTGGGTCTTTGTCTTCCTTGGGAAGCCGTTTTTGTCACGCAATCACCATCATTATCATGCAATATATATACTATATTAAAACCGAAGCATCACACGACGTTTGTGGCTTGCAAAGGCTTGGGGACACCCTATCTCAGGGACTTCCCATTTCAAAACCAATCGGGGACATCCTTTCTGCCGGTGAGAATGTTTCACAGCGGCTATCTCCGTGAATTCTCAGGCACGTTGCTTTCTCCCTGCGGAACCATCGAAGGTGAGAGCCCAAAGGAAATTGATGCCTCCTGGTACCGCACGTCATCGAATCCTCAAAACTGCGATTCCCCGACCCCCGACGTATGGCAAAAGGCACGAGATCTCGACAAACATTCCTCAGGTTCTCGGAATGCTAAGTTAGTGAAGTTCCATCCCGCCGGGTGTGGAATCGCACGTGTAGTCGTGCAAATTTTGATTCTAAGTGCAAGCCCTCTCAGTACTTTCGCTTGTTCGGTGATGTTTTTGGGGGTCCCGGATCCTTTCATTTTTAAAGCCGAATCTGCCCAAACCCAAGCGCCAGCGCAAAATCCGTCGCCGTTTTTGTCCCGGGCTGTCCTCAACTTTCATGCGTCCTGTCTCAAGTAGACTTGCGCAGTTGTTTTTTGCACAAGTTAGTACACGTGGTGTTTTCCCAACGCCGCTGCCATCCACAATGTTATGAAAACGATGACAATGTTATGCAACCGACGATAATGTTGTGAAACCGATGACAATGTTATGAAACCGAAGATTACTTGTCGTGAAATCGATGACAATGTTCTCAGCATGACATCCACATCCTCATTCCATCACAGCCCCCCCACCCCATTTTAATCACACGACTAATCGATGACAATGTTATAAAACCGTTGACAATGTTGGCAAACCGATGCCAATGTTATGAAAACGATGACAATGTTCTGAAACCGATGACAATGCTATGAAACCGCAGATTACTTATTGTGAAATCGATGACAATGTTCTCAGCATGGAATCGACATCCTCATTCCATCACAACCCCCC